TGTCCGATGTACAACTTGACTTGTCAAAACGTCCTATGTGGTTTTTGCTATATTGTAGCATGAAATTCAAATCAAAATTGTGATTTTACCGTTTCTACTGAATTTTCAACGTTATTATTCACTGACTACATTAAAAATAGCATTGCAAAATGTATTGTTTCTAAACAGTTAAAATAATATTCTGTCGAACTTCAACTTCTATTTTCTCAAAATGGTGGATAAACAGCAAAAAATAAATTTTTATATTACATCCCAGAGGATGTACTTCAATCACGTCGAAAATCTCATGTAATTTTCATGGCCACAAAAATAAACAAATGTAGTAAAAGCAGAATAATGTCAGTTCATGCACTGTATTAATGATAATTTTGTCGTTTTTGGCAAGTAATATTACACCATATTTTTGACAGAATTTAAGTGCATCCACTTTGATGTGATATCAAAATTAATTTTTTGCTGTGTATGTTACATTGGTCTATTTGAAAAGTGACGCGAGAATTACCGATGGTTGCGCCTTAGGCGCCTAATACATTGGTGACACATTAGGAAGAAGTGTTAGTTTGTTTACTAAAATGAACTATGCCCATTTTGTTATGGCAAGTTTGCTATAAGAAATGCTCCTCGTGTTTATTAGCGAAATTCACATCAAAGATTGATTAATTGCGTAGGAAATCAGTTTGGCACGGCATTTGTGACCAGCATACACCTTCCGGTCGTATGAAACAGGTCAAAAACTGTCCAAATCCGCCCATAAGCTTATGAGCTTCCACTGGTTCATTCTGATAGTGTTGTTCTGATGAATAAAGAGTTGTTTAATTTAAGTTTGTCACCCAGGGGACTTCTTGAATTTTCTCTAGATTTTGACACTGTTTTGTATCAAAAAATGTTTTCGGAAGTGTTTGACGGATATTCTTCATTACACTTCAGTCTAAAGAGTTAGCCTTGAGCTTGAGCTTGAGCTTGATTGACCGCCCACGGTTGCTACTCTGTTACTGCCAGATCAACTGTAATTACACAGAGAACCAATAGACGATACTTGGGACTAGCAATCATCCTCAATGTGTAAAAACTGGTGATCTTAAATTAGGCAATACTAGCGCCGGCCGCGCCCGAACACAGGTCAAGAAAGGAATGGGAAGGATTGTGTTGACATGACACTCGCTTTGATGGAAACCGAGAACACCTCTGCACTTCCACGAGGAATCACTGGGATGTTGGATAAGAGGGTTGGGTTTGCAGCAGGGTTCGTTTTGGTAAACGATAAGCTGAATTGATGTCCTAACGATCATATAACGCGAAGGAGCTTGGGACTAAACCCACGGTCTTCTGCTCAGTAAGCAAAAACGTTTGCCACTAGGCAGACGAGCACCTTTTTAATCACCGAGTTGCTGTTATTACCATGTAGTCATATTAACAAATAAAACGATTGACGAATCTTGAATGTGGATGGGCCTGAGATTAGACTCATGATGTTCTGCTCAGTAAGCAAAAACGGTTGCTCTGAGGCCACCGAGCCCCTCATATCACATAATACCGTTGCTCAAATTTGTGTATCCATTCAAACCCGGAACCAACGACAACAACGAGTTTCGCAAAATACACGATACACAAGCGGTTTTACCATAAATCTCTTTGATATATAAGGACCTGGGACCGCATTTTTTTGCTCAGTAAGCAGGCCACTGTAACCGACGATCTTTCAAATCCGAAAACTAAAAACTACGAAAAAGTACTTAGGCCTTCATTAAGTTCCACTTTCACACGACGTTCAATGACAGGGTCTTATCCAGGATTACATCTGAAAAATCCAAATCTGGTCAACGCCCACCTAAACCTGTTCTAATCCACCTGAAATGACTAAATAATGGAAGACTTTGACTACCCAGCCATGCAATAGTCTCATTCCGTGCCTTATGGCAACTTGATGATTCTATTGCGCTCATCTTTTGGCACCACCCAGGGGAGACTTGGTCCTGTACCCAATGCTTAACTTATCTCCATTCCACTCAGCTACTCGCAATTTCTTGTGATATAGTGGGCGGAATATTATTATATGAGATAATTCAATGCAGACGTCTTTCCAAATTTGGCAGATCGAAAGGTAATCGGTGAGTTACCACGATAGTTGCTATTCAACAACTCGACAACGTCCCATCGTCAACGCCTGCTATTTCCCATTGCAGACGTCAACGATATGACGTCATCGAGCTATCGATCAACTACCCTGGTTATCGCCTGGTACCGTATAGCACGATGCTAGGAGGCGAACCGGAAGAACCGATGAGCTACCTCTCTCCCTTCAGTCGAAAGAGTTAGCCTTGTGATAAAAACGAGAATTAGTTAAGTTTTGCAATTCCTCCTACTTCGCTTTGCGCGAAAAGGGCCATCCAAGTTTTTTTTGCACAAGATGATAGATCCTTCAAATGTTACGTTAGGTAATGATTAATAAAGTAATTGAGAATATGTCTCTCGAATTCATGGAGAATTGAAAAATAAAACAAAATCTAATATGTGGTGGTAAACTATAACGAACAAAATTTGGTGCACAGGTAAACAAATGAGGCACGCGACGCCTCTGGTAGAAAGGACACTATTAAGTAGGAAATTTTCTAAGCAGTTCAATAGAAGCAATAACTTTATGCTAAGTAGCATATGTTTTCGAGTTAGAGTCAATTTATGGCAAGCATAGACCAAAACATAATAAGTTAAATAACCAAGTAATGTGTATTTGAGATTTGATCATATGGGTAGATTTTTTTTTTTCATCAAATATGATCTTCTACCAAACCTTAAGATATTTGCACTAAAGAACCGAACATCCTGTATAGAACAGCGTTCCTCAATCTATAGATCGCGACGCACCGGTGAGTGTCCTTGAGTGGGTCCAGGCATTTTTTTTTTAATTTCCTGATAATTTCAGGTTTTCTAGGTTTTTTCATGAAGTTGTCACCGTGTAAAAGTTGATGTTCTACGATTTTGGTCAGTTTTAAAGTGTACAATGGGTCCAACATCAGAAAAAAAAAATGTTCTCTTTTATGCTGTTGAACCAGGTTTTTTGCATTTTTGACAACAATTTGTTTAATTTTTTCAGTGTGTATTTTTTACTGAAAAGGCAATCCAGTTTCCTACAATTTTATCTCAGACGTCATTTCGATAAGATAAGCCGTTTGTAAAATTAGGTGGTCACTGCTGACTCATTGAATTATTATATTGTTTCACATTTTGCCCCATCATCGTTTATTGAAACTGAGCAAGCTGATGAACTTTCGGCTAATTTTTCATTCAGAGGTATTACTAGTAACGATATTTTGGAAGAGTTTGCGTCTGCTTTATGTGATTCTGTGGGTACTGATCTCATTCCTCTAACTATTTTGAAAGTGTCTTTACGTGTCACTCTACCTTACATCACAGACTTATTAATTTTTTTTATAACCACCTAAGAATTTCCATGCTCATGGAAAGTGGCTAAGATTGTTCCTTTTGGTAAGATTGACAATCCAGCTACATAAAAGGAGCTATTTAATTCTATCCAAACAACTAAACGAATATCTTAATAGTCATAATCTGCTATGTTCTATACAATCAGGTTATCGTAAGAACTGCAGCACGATTACAGCTCGTATATAAATTAAAGACAATTTAAGAAATGCTCTTGATAAGAAAATGTTAACCGTGATGGCGCTCTTAGATTTCAGCAAAGCTTTTGATTCAATTGATCATCGGAAACTCCGAGAATCATATTTGGCTGGCTGATCACAGTATGTTGAATTTAATAACAAGCAATTGAATAACGTGCATGTTCTGAGTGGGGTTCCTCAGGGATCCATCCTGGGGCCCCTACTTTTTTCTATGTTCATCAATGATATGCCCAATGTTTTATTAAATTGTAAATTTCACTTATATGCAGATGACTGTCAACTATACATCACTGGCAAATTGAATAATAATTGAACTGAAACGATATCATTATTAAATAGTGATAGAGAAAATATCTTAAAATGGTGTGAAACTAATGGTCTTACTTTGAACAGGGCAAAAACACAAACTATTATTTTTAGATCAAAACGAACTGGTATTCAGGATATCCCATTAGTTAAAGTGGGTGCTCATTGTGTATCGTTGAGCTATCGTTCGATTTGATTATGGAATAAACTACTTAGGGCAAGACAGCAAGAAGTTTAACAACATTTAAAAACATATGCAGCAACTACTTCAGTTAGGTTAATTACACTACATCGGTAGTGTAATAGTAGCATATAGTCTGAAAATCATTAGTAGATTACTTGTGTTATTATTCTTGTATTGTATAAATAAATTAATAAATAAATCTAGATAGTCAAAATTTCCCAACGAACTCCAGTACAAACATGGTTCATTGCCCCTAACGAATAATTATGCGAAGTTTTATGGAATGCTGAGAGGTAAAATTTGGCGTGGATTTGCTCAATATTGGAAATCTGTAATCGATATGCTAACGGAGTTCATAATTTCGAATGATTTATTGGTTAAGAATTCACACACATTATCAGAATTTATGCTTTAAAAATTTAAAGAGAGATATGAAAATTACTAAACATCCGGAAACATTAAACTTTCTTACTAACAATCAGGTAAATTTTCTAAACCTTTCAGTACTCGTGCCAACTTTTGCAACACAGTCAACACAGTTTGAATTTGCAAGTGGCATCTCAATGAGTAGAATGTATGAACAACCCCTTCATCAGATATGCCTTCTTTCAACTAAAAACTTCTCTGAAGACTACAAATTGATTAAACTTCATCTACATGCACATTTATTTATTCTTTCCTGAAACTCGCCCTTCCGGACCACTGTGCACTGTAGTTTAGAAAAAAAAGGACGAGATATATTTCCCCCTTCTTTGTAAAAATACTTAAATTAAATAGAACGAGCCCATTGCTGAACCACCTATCGAAAAAAGGGATCTAAAATGTTAACTTTACGTCAATAGACTGTAAATTCTCATCACGCTTCAATTTACCTTTCTCAGCACATTAAGCCCTTTGAACTCGATGAGCTGCGGCGGTGGGCTGGGGAAGTTCTCTTCCACCCATGAGACTACTTTGTCGGAGACGAACGGTGGTACGGGAACGCCCCACAGCACTTTGGGATCCTCCTCGAATTCCGGGGTCACGAGATCAAAGTTTTGCTTGAACGTCGACTCGGAGGGAGATAATGGCTCGGCCATGGTCGTTCAACTTCCTTGCACAGATAAAACGAATCTTACAGCTTAAAATCGATGCACTTTTTTCGGTGCTTTTCTTCCACCCATTTCCTCCGAGTAAATAGAGGTTGTACGCTATGCGGAAAATCGATGGTAATTTGTAAACAGGACAATTTAGCGGGCTCCAGGCACATCAAAATATACCTATTCTCACTGCACACTCGTCGTATCCTTTGCACCTTGTATTCAACCGAAAAAAAAACCACCAACACAAGCACAATTTCAATCTTCCGAGTGTCGAAATATACCCGGTACCAGTCCTACTGCGGCGGGTGGAAAACTCGAACTGAAAATCTTCGCGACGAAACCCAATTACTCAGCACGAGTCCTTGTGAATCCGCGCGTTTTCCTCTCTGATCGGGGTGATACAACCAGTGTTGTTAGCGCTACGGATTTCTGCATACGAACAAAAAAGTAGACACCCTTTTGCGGATTTCCTTGTTACTTTAATAATCATATCACTTTTTAAACATCGTTAAGTTCGAACAATACTTCCATAAATTAGCTTTTCTTACATCAAGTCTAGTAGGGGAAATTGCTCTAATTTTGTCCTATGGATCTAAGATTGGACCCATCGCTAAAAATCAGCTATTTATCAATTTTATCTAGATGAACGCGTAATTGGGACAGTACTAATGAATATTTTTGGTCGCTATTGAAAATTTAGTCGATTTATGTATGGGCCTAAATTACGGGCATTTAGGCCAACATTACATCTATTTTCCCTATCAAGCAAAATATGTTTTGATAAACTTAAAGGTGGTGAACAAATGTACGAATTTCTAACCACACTGCCACACAGCGCCTGCCACAGCGCGCACCATGAAGAGAACCACAACAGAGAGAAAAGCTCTCACATGCTTTGATTCCTGCATGGCATTCTTGTTTGTACACAGTAGCTTCACGCTGCGGGTGTAGCCAAAAGGTAAGCCCCCCTAATGACGTCACCACTTCCAAATGGAAAAGCTCATGGATGTTGTCTCGTATTGTTTGAATTGGTTATAAGCTTTCTCCACATGTATTCCAAACCAAATCTGTTAAAGTTGGAGGTGTTTTGGACAAATAGCATTTTACTTTGGAGTATGAATTTGCATGAACAGAACGTTTGTCTTTAGTGTGAAAAGGATGATTCCTCACTTAGGTATATTGAAACTATCGTAACGCATCGTTGGCCCTATGTACCACTAGGGGTAAGTAACACAACACAAATTTGGGGTTGGATTTCTTTGATCATTTGCATGTTCTCCTACAAAAAAGGTTGTGTCAGTTCTTACAATGGACTGTAGCGAACAAGCAAGTTGTTCCAGAGTGCATATGTTCGTAGTACGTATGAACTTCGTACAATGAGATTTTCCAGCCGCAGTGCATTTGGGGAAACAAGCTTTTTCGAAAATTCAGCTAACATAAAAACTACATAATTATTTAGGGCACAAGCATTTAGGCACATGCAGAATCTGTTCATGCAGTGAAATATAACAAATTATGCATGCTTTTTATACAAATCTGTAATAGAATCTCACATTCCCCGGTTGGGTGTAGCATATGTCAAATACACAATAGATTTTTTTGATTAAATTAAAAGGTTTAGAACCATACAAATTGGTACGGTACCAAATATGGCAACACATCTCAATAACTCAGCCATAATTTTTCAGCAATTCTGATCTTCCGCATCAGTCCTATGCCAAGAATTCTCTTTTGAGCAACCGGAAGCTTCCAACGAAAGCTGCAGTCTACCAAGAATCAACCCCGAGAGAAAGAGAGACATTGAGTGGAAGTCCGTTGGTCCCATATGCCTGGCAAAACGAAGTCGCATGGAATCGGAGTTGGCTGAAGTCGACCACGTATTGGAAATAAAATGAACAATCCAAACAGGCCAAGGTCAAGGACAAGGAAGTGAAAAAATACTCTACGCTATTGGATGCGCTATCGGTGCACTATAGCTGTGTCTTGGTTATGCAATTATTAAGTTAAAATTCCTACCATCATTACATGCTCTACAACTTTATATTGACAACTGCCAAATTTGCATCTTAGAAATGAGATTAGTAAAAAAAAACACACGCCAAAATATCGATTTTTAAGTTTATGAAATCAATTAATTGTTTTCACTCAATCGAAATCGAACACGTTTTTACGGTCAGTTGGTAATGTTTAGATGCCTTTTTTTATTCCCGCTAAAATTGCTTGACAAAGTGCTCAACCACTGAGCATTTTTGAATCAGACATCGACCGGTTGCATAAGCGATTTTACCTCATCAATTAATCTAGAGGGATATAGCGAAACATTGCTTTAGTTGAGATAACCCTAAATAAAACGGTAGCTAAATAATTTATGGATTCACGGGCCAACAAACTTACGACTTTGTTACGTGCATCGGTCATCGCTAGAGCATGAAGCGCACAGATGTCTGTATTGCCATTCTTCACAAACAAAAGTGTTTGTCTGTTTTGGATCTTTTCAAATAATTTAACTCAAGATCGTTTTCCGGCCATTCCAACTTGGCCTCGATTAAAAAATTTAATGTTTTTTTTTACACAAAGCAAAGTCTATAAATTGAAATTTGATTTAATTCTTTGGGCAAATGGAAATTAAATTTAAATTAAATTAAATACAAGCGCACGTTTTTGGAAGGCTTGAACCTGCAGTCTTGGGCTCAACATGGATGAATGCACCGATGACAGACATGAACAATCATCTACATTAATTTCGCGCATTAATTTACATTTATTTTCCTCTATCTTTTTTTCATCAACAGAGTTCCATAACATGATGTATGAAGCTTTTGCAGGTTTTGATATTAGCTACAACTTCTGTGAAAGACTCTAAGCTGTATCTCTGCTTTGGTTCATCATGAATAAGAGATACAGATTTGAGCTATTGAAAAAAGTTGAAACTAACATCAAAACCTACTAACGCATCATACATCATTTTGCCGAATTCTATTGATGAAAAAAGTTAGAGGCAAATTAATGTAAATGAATGCACGAAATGTATGTAAATGATGATCTTTACATAAGGCCGGAACAAATTACAAGTTTTTCTTTTGTCACTCGATGATCGCACCAGTAAAGAGGGGGCTGGGGGGAGGGAGGAGGGGGGGGGGGGAGTAAAAAACAATAAAAACATTCAAAATTCGTTTTACATCACATCTAAACCGTATATTTCAAGCGTTTACATTACTTCTTAGATTTCGTTTTAGTCTTATACTTCTTTGAAACCGTGATTTTTGACAATAATGCATAACAGATGCCACAAATGTTGACTTTATTATGAGCAACACTTGGGTTATCAACAAGACATTTCACGCATAAGTGCGATTTTTGAGTTTTGATAAATTCCGGGTAAACCATCAAGTGGAATACCACACACGTAATAGTTCTTATAAAAAAAAACGTTCTAATTTCGATAGTTCCTTCTTATTCAAATATAACATGGCAGAACAGGAAACCCAAATTGATATGAAATTACATACTTTGTGAATTAAAACTCAGTATTCTTTTGCGCGTGTGTGTGTGTCTTCCCTCTAACACCCACTGGCCGGTAGTGTTATTATGGAAGAACTCTCTCTACAATGTCGCATTTATGGTCATTGTTGACAGCTTTAATCCGGGAGTTAGAAGGTAATAGCTCAATTGCAGATCCAGCAACCCATTTCAGAATGTCTGGAGAGTCACGCCCATTCCGAGGTTACTTTCACTTACAATAAGCCCCGCATGTATGCATAACCTTTATCACACACACACTTTCAGTTTCAAAATGTTCATTTGAATCCTGGCACGTATTTAGTTTATGTTTTTTATTTTGTAAAAAGTATTTGGACTGGTCTAAATACTATGTTAATTTGATCCTCCAATCCATAGGTTCCGTAGTTCCGAACATAAATTTTCTTGCCCTGCCATGGCATATGGAAGGATGTTCGCGTCTACTGCTTTTCCCAGGAACCGTTCGCGGCCACCAGTTACACCCCGTCCAGTCTTGGGCGTATTCAGCGAGACATCTTTCAGCTTAGTCGCCGACACCGGCAAGATACCAGCAGCCGAACACTTTTGCAAGCAGAAAGCTTGCTGATTCACGGCAACATCTGCCACCGAATCTCCACCAAAACTGGCAACGGACACATTATAAGCACTTTCCTGGGCTAATTCACCAACCAGGCCGGGTTAAAACTCGTCCACGGCAACGAATCTCTCAAAAGAACTACACGCCGAAAGTGTGGCATCCGAATTCGGAGAACCGGGCTCCCGGGAGGCAATGAAACCGACACCAAACAATAGAACTGAAGCTGCGACGTAGATTTTGGAGGTTAAATTCAAGGTCAACCGAATCACTCAAGGCGAACCTTTTTTTCTTGCTTTTTTCTTTTGTCACTACATGTTTCTATTTTTCACTTGCTATATTCTTCTCTTTTCTTTAATCAAATTTGGCTTCAAAACTGGACGCCTCAACACAGAAAAAATACGATATATCACTAAATGATAAGTTTATGAACACTTGAATCTAAATTTCAGCACACAAATTAACAAATTCAAAGCCAAAATGTTTAATTCGCTGACAAAAAATACGCAGCAAAAGAAAAACACGTCAGCTTTCAAGCGCGCCCTACTGCGATTCAACTCAGTATTCTTTTGTGCGTGCTTCAAAAATCTACCTAGACGTATGGATTCAGAAAGGTCTTTTCAACAAAATCCAAGCCTAATATTCAGAGGAAGGAGCCAAAATCCATCTTGGCTGAACATAAAAACCAAATTTTAACAAAAATACGTACTTTTGTCAATTTAAACCTGGCTTTCTGTGTGCTTAAAAAATAATCATCACGTATGAATTCAGCAAGGACCGTAACTTTCAAAGGACGGTATCAAAATCCAACTTAGCAGAAAAGGAAACCCACATTTCTAAAAAATAAACTTTTCAAATTGCAAACCTGGTTCAACCTTCACGTATGGGTTCAGTAAGGTCCATTCAATAAAAAACAATCTTATTTGTCAATGATATGAGCCGAAATGCAATTTGGCAGAACCTAAAAATCAAATTTTTATGAAAATACGTATGGATTCAGCAATTCTATAAAATCCACAAATTTCAAAGGAAGGCGCCGAAATTCAACTTCATTTTACCATTTTACTCGTATTTTATTTACAGTCCATACGCAAATGCCCGCACCTTGGCCTTAACCCCGGCCATAAGATTCTGCACAACCTGTGAATCAACCGTTTTTTGCATGTAAACCCATACTTTCTTC